GAAGACTTCTGAACATATCGCAAGTGAGAAAGCAAGCATTTTCCGTAGCTCCTTAATGCCCAGACGTCAAACGTTCTGAACAACTCGTCTGGCACAACGGATTCACAAGTGCAACAAAAAATTGAACCTGTAGTCTAGGTTGACAATTTCGGATACTACGGATCCGTAATATCGAGAAATAACACAAAAAAATTTGAGTAAATTGGAGAGGTGTCCTACCTTGCTTCCAGCACTTGTGGTAACCTGCTGAATATTTAGGCTGAGAAACGAGATTTTTTCACAAAAATTCGCCTTACGCCTTGGCTGCCAGATACTACCATAGGATGTTCCGATAGAAGATCAAAAACGACGGTTTAATGGCTTATAAAGTCTTCGGATTCGATACATAATTATGGTTAAATAGCAGAACCCCGTAAAAAAGGATTTTTTTCTCCTCTGAACACAAGTAGATATGTAGATTAAGAAAAAGAAGCTGGACCTGTTTGACAGACTGCTTGCACACAAGTACTTTTCTTCAGTCCCTCGAGTTTCTGAACTGAGAAGCGAACCAAAGCAATCGTCGATCAGGAGGCCGTTATGAAACATCGGGGAACAAGGAAGAGGCAGATCTGCTTTCGGACAGGAATACTGTTTCCAAGATACAACAAAGTGATTAAGTGCGGCATTACAGGCAAAGTGATTAAATGATGAGGCTGAAAATATGACGGTCGTCGCAAAGCAGGGACGTCAATTCATATGAATAGCTTAAGATGACGATCACAACTCAGCAGCGAGTGAAATTTACCTACTGAAAACGGTTCTCATCATACTTCGCTGTGAAATTTAAACACACTCCTTATTCATTGCCTGCTGAATCTCCAAGCAATTAAAATTTTGTCGAATGAGTCATTTAAGGAGTTCATTCGAGGTCTTGCGTACTCAAGGAGTTTACAGTTGCTATTCCTTCAAGTGAGGGTTACCAAGAAACGCCGTCAAAACGTTATTCGTCTCTAGAACACTGTGATTTACAATGCGTAGTGTTTGTTTGCCTGTTTCTAATGCCCCGATAAACTTGCGTTGACTGAAATGAAGATCGAGTGATGAGATAATCCCTCCTTCTGATTTTTCTTTCACATGTTCATTATTTGTTCTTTGTCTTAGCGCGCAGCTGCTGAATTATATGAATTGCTTGTTTGCTGAACATGACTCATCGCTTTTACAATTCGGTATTGAGCGATACCATCGCAGTTCAAAATCGAAACCGATAGTGCTTCTTAGCAGTGCCATTACCAATTCCTGCGCTGTCGCTATATTCTGCAATTTTTTCTCAATTGCAGTAACTGATATTAAGTATCAAAATGACCATGTGTAATAATGCTCTCTGCTTGTCAGAGTAGTCGCCGCAGACTGCACAAAATAATAAAGGTTTATACCTAAGGGCATTCTCCTTACTCTGTGCTTCGTTGCTGCCGTCCTCTAGAAAACACCCATACTTTTTTGTACCTTCTGCTATAATCGCTTCATTAGGCAATGAATACTTTAGTGATTGAATATGTTCGAGAACAATTTCATTTTCCTCAATAAAAATGTAGTACGAAAGCGAAGAATGTACAACGAAGCAGGGTGATTAGAAATGAACGAACTGGAATCGTGAACAGGGATTTTCGTCATCTGTTCCGAACCATTGTGGACAAAACAGAGCTAGATCTTAAGGAGAAATTCACAATCAAGTCGAGTTTCACCCCTATACTAACCTGTGATCAAGGGATATTAACAAAAATACATGATCATAATACAAGCGGTAGATATGGGCTTCTTGAAAAAAGTCGTAGGGTTTACGAGTTTCGAAAAACTCTAAACTTAGTGACTAGGGTAACCCTTGGATAAATGAGCTATACTCATAACTCCATAACGTTCTGTGGTGACCAGACACTGGTGAAAAATCGTGAACGGTGGCAGCATTGTCTACCTCTGCTACCCATGTGACTCCAAAAAAGAAGCGGTATCATATACTGACTGATGAACGCCCCGGATCACGGATAACAAACGCAGGAGTGGGAGATGAAAAACGAAACGTCATGAATGTTTTTACTATCACTAGACGATTTTGGAAAATTCTGATGAACCGAAAAGAAATTATCATCCTTTCAAGCTTTATTCCACGTTCCGTAACAGTTCGTATCACACAAACTGTCCTTTGCTTACGTTCGGTGATTGTGATCAGCAGCTACGCCACAAATCACGTGCTTCAACGACAACACTCGCGTGCTTTTAATTGTTTTTTCTTAGTTCATTAGAGCCTTGTCCATGCTTACTGTAACTTTTCATGACAAATTCTTCAGTGAAGAATTTTTTCGAAAGTGTTATGAGCGACAGTCACATATGTCTCTTTCAATTTGACGACTGCTTCCTCGAGAATGAGCAGGCAGTTACTAGTCGCGAAAAACGGAAAAGCTCGAAATGCTTTCTAGATTAAAGTTTGTAATGCTCAATAACAGATAATTTAAGGCAGCTTGTCGCTCTATAAAAATAGACATCTTGTCAACCCACAAATAAAGTCAAAGATAGTACTTACAATAAATACTAAAAGCTGTTTGAATAACGAATGATAGCCGCACTGATCAGATGATGCGTTAATTTAAGCAGATGCGCATATTCTTGGTATTCCAGGAATACTCAACAAGCAAAGCAATGATATGCAATTACTGACTAGTGTACCACCGATTCTATTGCACTGAGCGACCCTTATTACTACTACGGATCTGGGTCTGCTCTACATATACCACGCTGACTAGACAACTCTGGGAGTGTGCCTTGTTACGGATGTTTCGTCAAGTTGACACCGGAAACTTTTTTCATTATCTACATTTTATGTCTTAGTTTAGTTTCAATTGGTTACGGTACCCACGTGAGACAATACCAAGCGACCCAGAAGAACATATGAAAGATACTAAGAAAGGCACTGAAGATACGGTTGATCGTGTACTCAACTGATATCAAAGCTTTTAACGCTTGAGGTCAGCAGAACTATGACTCCAGAATCGCGGTGACAATCCTGGTTACCAGGTCAGTAACACTGTCATACTTCTTTAAGCCGTTGATATTCGTGGTTGGGT